AAACCATTGGTTTTTTGATGTTTTTATGTTAAAATCGCTGCGAACACTAAGGTTTTGGAAGGATTTCGTCTTGCGCGCGCGAATGTCCACTTTACCTTATTTTTTGCAAGGGATTCTTGAAATTTGATTATATTAGAACAAGAAATGTCATTTTCTATTGTTTTTTGCAAGGGAAAGCGGATTACAACAAAACAACCGGATCCTGTACACACCCTCTTTTCTGAGGCTTCCTCACGAAAATGATGAAAATGTAGCTGCGGCCTAGGCGGCGCAGGGGGGGCGCGCACCAGGGGGCCCAACAATAATTATTCTTTAGAATAAATAATGTTCAACAACAAAGAACAACCGCGCGTGAGTACCCCATGGTCCGAAACCTCGTTCCCCGCGTTCTTCCCTAAGGTGGAACCGCGCGTCTGTGCCCCATTGGCCGGTTCGGAACCCCCCCTACCCCCCCCCCCCCCCAGCAACCAGCAACCAGCAAGCAGCAACCCCCTGCACCGCTGGCGAACTCGCTCGCGCAAAGGTGTGGACTCATCCTCCATGCCATTTTGCCGTGTGTGCACCAGCGAGGCTCCGGAATCTACGGAGTCCTCTCGGATCCTTAGGTGGATCCACCTCTACTACAATCATATTATTGCTGGATCCAGCTCAACTACAATCCTATCACTGTCTGAAGGGTGCCTGCTTAGGGGCCTCTGGAGGAGGATCCCAGAGGGAGGCGGCTTGTAGGCCGGGGCCCCGAGGTGGAGGTCCACACCACCACCGGGAGAAGGCCCAGAGGGAGGTTCCATGGGGAGGAGCTACACTTGATGCAAGCGGCTCCTTGTTCAAAACGGGGCTCTCGTCTGAGGGGGTGCCTGCCCATGGGCCTCTGGAGGAGGATCCCAGAGGGAGGCGGCTTGTAGGCCGAGGCCCCGAGGTGGAGGCCCACACCAGCACCAGGAGAAGGCCCAGAGGGGGGCCCCATGGGGGGGCGCTATACTTGACGCAAGCAGCTCCGTTTCAAAACGGGGCTCTCGTCCGAGGGGCGCCTGCTTTGGGGCCTCTGGAGGAGGACCCCAGAAGGGAGGCGGCTTGCAGGCCGAGGCCCCGAGGTGGAGGTCCAGACTAGAACCAGGAGAAGGCCCAGAGGGGGGTTCCATGGGGAGGCGCTAAACTCGATGCAAGCGGTTCCTTTCAAAACGGGGCTCTCGTCCGAGGAGCGCCTGCCCGGGGGCCCTTTTGGGGGGGGGTCCAAGAGGGAGGCGGCTTGTAGGCCGAGGCCCCAAGGTGGAGGTCCACACCGGCACCAGGAGAAGGCCCAGAGGGGGACCCGTCCGCCCTAACCACAGATGGTTCCTGTTCCTGTTCCTGTTCCTAGAAGGCACGCGCAGTCTGCGAACCTCTACCCGCCGCTGCCATCATGCTGCAACCGTTTGGAAAAGCAACTCTGAACACCATTCTGCTGCTAACGACTCTGCGAGAAAGGCGGACCTCAGCTTGCCCAGTAGTTTCCCTGTCCGGAAAAGCAACTGTTTCTCTCCATTGCGATAAAATGCAATTGCTACTGCCCCGGCGGCTGAATCCCCAGAGGACCTCTTAGCACCATCAATGCTGAATATGTAATTGACGTCTGCTGCTTCCGACGCCCGCTGCATATTTTCGGCGCGTTGGACGAACCAATCTTGACCCATGTCGAGCGCCTTGCTCGCAGCCTCATCGGCTAGCCCGCTGTAATCTCTAGGGCCCCACTCGAATACTCGACGTTGCTTCGTCGGGGAAGCCGCTGGGCACCATGGAGCCGCAGCAACTGCCGTGCGATGCGCACAAACAAGGGCCGCAGCTCGTCACTATGAAGTAGCGACCGCCCTCCGAGAAGTTGTGCCACCTGCAAGTTGTCCGCCTGGATCCACGCTCTGCCCCCGTATGTTCCCCAGGCACGTTCTTCAGAGATTGGCTTCGCAAACTCATGGAGTTCCAATGGTAGCTTGACTATGCGCAGCGCTGGCGCATTGCAAGGGCGAGTCATTGCGGTTTCTGGGACGGGCAGACCCCATTTACGACACACCTCTGCACAGAACTCCGGAAAGCCGTTCATCCACTCGTCCATGGAGCTGCAATCGCCCCTGCGCCCTTCCCAACCCAGGCCCCATGCAATTGCAAATGGGTGGTCCCACGCCGCGGCCGGGTGCCCAGGGCGAGCCCGAGTCATGCCCAAGCGTCGTCGTTTGGATCCGGAGGCAAGGGGAAGTACAGTTTCCCACCGCCGGGTGGACCTACATTGCCGCGCTGCCCGCACCGGGTTCTCGCCGCAATACAAGCTCCACTTCTCGATCTTCCAAGCTTCCTTGAAGACTGCCCTGAGCACCCGAACGAAGATGAATTCCCGTCCGGCCGCATCCATTCATTGAGAATTCATTGACGCAGTCCTGGCGTTGAAATGCATTGCCGTCTCGTCTGGGCGCCTGCGCAAACGGAACATTCTGCGCAGCCTCTGCAATTCCCATGTTCGCAGCTGCTTCAACACTTCAGCAAACAAATGCCACGTCTCTGAACCGCGCTGCACGGTGGCGGCGGGCCCCGTTCCCCAACCTCGCAATCTCATTGAATGGGTGCACCGCGGTTCTGCAATGTTCTCTGGTGTTTGTAGTAGCACAGCTCCGCGCGACCCATGTTGCACTGGACGCTCGCGCGCGCTGCCACTCGGGCCCAACAGCTCACCGAGCAGCTCCAAGTGGTCCCGCCTGTGGTAGTTCAGAGCGCCCCCGTCCTGCCCGATGGCACATGGCCCGCACTCGGCTGTCTTCAAGGATCCGGCGGTTAGGTACTCCAGCGACTCCCTCTTCCATAGCATGCGCTGTCTCCCTGAGCTGTCCACGTAGCGGGCGAGCGCCTCGTTGATATCCTTGATCATTCGCTGCATCATTGGTCCATCTCGCGCAAGAAGAACAACATTGTCTGCCCAGATTGCGTGGGATACTGTTGTGCCTGAATCGTCGGTCCAATCATCTGGAACTTTGAAACCCAAGCCCTCCTGCGCCCATGCGTCCACGACCGGTTCCAAAATGTATTCAATTATGTCTCGCCGCTCGTCTGGCGTTTCCACGCCACCTTGCTTGCCTCCCCGATTAAATGGGAAAGGATCCGTCTTTCCAACAGTAGGTAGGGTAATGGTAGCACTCACTCCGCTCAGTTCTCGCATACATACTCCCACGCCGTGAGCCGGCACGCGTCGATGCAGCAGCGAGGTCATCACTAACTCGTGCGGCATGCTATCAAGGGGCGTCTTCACGTCCTGGCAAGCGATGAGCAGATGAAGATTCCAGCTATCAGCCAAATACGAACATTCCCTGATAAGTCCTGTAAGCGCTCTTGTCGAGGTCTTCGTGCGAAATCCGTACGAGTGCACGCGCGTCGGACGCATATGGCCTCGCAACCTTGGCTGGCGGCTCCTGAGAAACCATTTTTGTAACACCAGTGACTTCCAAATCCAACGGAGGTCGTCGAAGAAGCATGTCGCTTTAACCTTGGGCAATCCAATGAAGAGAAGCACCTTCCAGAACGGCGACGACGGCGACGCCGAGTCCAACTGATCGTAGTCGCGGAAAAGCCGGTGCACGTGAAGCACGCTCAAGAAAGGCAACATGTTGTAGACCTCAGGTGTGATCCCATCCGAACCCGGAGCGCCCCCTTTCTTGAGTTGCGACCTCCTTTGGAAAACATCCCAAAACTCCAAAATAGGCGCCGGACGCCCGTCCAACCGGTCGTTCCGAGCTACTGACACCAACTTGTCCATCCTCTGCTCTTGCTTCTCTGCTAGATTATCGGGGTCGTGGAAACGATGGCGTTCGAACTCCCTCACCCCGCGCAGCCACTCAGCCCCATCATAGCACCAAGAACCGTCGATCTCAAATCCCATGGGCACATGAACTTCAGCATTGCCGTACTTTGCCAAGGCGCCTAACCGTTTCTGCACTACTTGCCTCTGCACCGCCTTGCGGAGAGCCCAGAACTGCCGTAACAACACCTGCCGGTTATCCCCCCGGGTCTCGACGCGGAGACGGGCTCGGATTGCTTTGAGTTGTTGGCGCCACCGTCTATTCTCTGGCTCCCCGATAGAGTCCACTTGGAAGCACCCATTGGCTAGTTCAAATAGGCCCCTTTCGAAACACTCCAAATCGAGACGCAGAAAATCGGGCTGAAGAGTCAGATTCTGAAGCTGCTCCCGCACGGCGCTGTCCTGGAGCACCCGGTTAGGAAGCCGAGCCCGTGGCGGCTGTGAGCCGCGTACGCTCTCCTCCATCACATCCCATTCCACCTCTATCTTTACGGGCCGGTGGTCCATCTTCTTCGTCAGAGGGGACTCGTTGATAAGGTCAAGATAGCTGATGGCACCACCACTCCCGCGGAGCTGACGGGAGACCCCAAAGGAGTCGATTTGGGACCGAGCTTTCATCTTTCGTTTCAGGCCGCACGTCCACAATGAGCTACTGGAGACGTCTTCCCCGTATGTGTTCACCGCCCGCACCCCCAACGCCTGCATCCAAGAGACTACACGGTGCTGCATACGGGGCGCGTGCGAAGCCAATGGTGTCATTGTGGTTGTGCCCGTTACCCCTTCGACTCCTCGTGGAAGCGAGACATTGGCGTCGAAACCGCATACGACACTAATATGAGCTCCGTAACGCATTCGACACTCTTCCAAATATGCAACAGTTTCTTCCCGCACCTCGTCAGCATAATCATTATCAGAATTGTCCACCCCTCGGCTGTGTATGAAATGCGCACTAAAGAATAAGGTGAAACCATGTGGGCCTTGTGCTAGGACAAGACCTCCCCAATATCTGCCGTACCTCTCGTCCCTCACTTGTGGATTCAGGCGCCCTGGCAATAGGAAGCCACAATCGAATCCAGACTCCCCCCCAAGTTCAGCACGTTTGGTCCGGCCGCTATGAACTATCAGCCCCGTACCCTTTATCACACGACCGCATGTCCATTTGGGAATCTCTTGCAGACAAGCAATACACTCTCCAGAGCACACGCGACGCAGACTCCGAGATATCCGAGGAATCTCACTGTGTGGTTTTTTGTGAACGTTGAAAGAAATCACTGGGCAGGAGCCCCCCTCACTGCTCGCATGCAGCGGCGGGCACCCCTAATGTTTTTTATTGCCTCCCCTCCTCCGGATGTGCTTCACTCCGTCCTTGGCGGCCTTCTCTGACAGGCCACAGATACGAAGACCGTCCTCGTGCCAAGAGACATGCTCCCCAACATGCACTTCGCAAAGAATACCGCTCTCCATCCCAGTCGAGGTCACCTCCACCTTGAAATCTGGATGCCAACCTACGTTCTGCTCGATGGACGCGTCGATGTTCGCCTTCGCCCAGTCCTTGACCAAGCCGAGCTTGGAATACTGCGCTTGGATTTCGGGGGGTCGCTCGGCTCGAACATACAGAACGCAGTCCGCGATGTTCCACACCTTCCCCGCGTTCGTCAGGTACTCGTTCCAACAGCCGCGGATCTCCTGAAGGAAGGCCGGCGTGATGGGGACCTTGATGGAGTAATTACGGGGCCCCCGTAGGTGCATTTCCCGTACATGTTCACGTAGTCCTGGCTCGAGCTGGGCCTTCAGTTCCGATATCAAGTCGGAGGCCTCCTTCCTGGTCATCCCTTTCGTGTCCTTCTCCTCCCATTTGCACAACCCCATGACTTCCACAAAGGATGCTTGCCAAGGGCCTGAACTCTGACCTCCTTCGATTATCCCCACCCTTTCCTCCAGCTTCTTCTGTGCCTCGTTGATGCCCGTGACGTCATCCTTCAAAACGTTCACGTCCTTTTTGATAGGATCACGCATGACCTTCAGCCTCTCCTCCTGCTTCTCCAACAGGCTGCTTTCGGCGCCGGCCCACCAAGCTGGGGGCGCTGCTGGTGGGTCCTCCTTATCCTTCCCCCGACTCCGTGAACGGGAACAGATGCACTCAACAGACTTCTTGCCACAATCCTGACAGAACATGGTTCCTAATACACGTGGTCGGTAAGTGTGATAAGACAGTATACTGTACCAGACTGCTCTTGTACCTCCCCTCTGGGCCCCATTCCTTGAGCCAAATCAGGTTCTCACCGAATCTCGCCGTGCGTCGGCCATCTTCAGACTGCCTGCAGTCGTTGGGCAGTGAATTGTCTACGGGCCGTCGTCGTCGGGAAGGATGAAGCGAAATGAAGCTTCGGTAGAGCTCCCTGCGGGGCCAGGGCCGCGATCCTCGAGAGGGCTGTGCCGAAATGAAGATTCGGTGGAGCTCCCAGTTGGGCCAGGGCCAGGATCCTCGAGAGGGGCGTGTCGAAATAAAGATTCGGTGGAGCTCCCTGTGGGGCCAGGGCCAAGATCATCGAGAGGGGTGTGCTGAAGTGAAGCTTCGGTGTAGCTCCCAACCGCCCGCCCGCCAATTGGCCAGCAAACATCGTAGGATCGGTACTGATGTTGCCCACACAGGCTTGCCCTTTTTCGTTTGGGGAAGTCCTCATCCTCCTCCTCCGCCTGCTCCTGCCTCCTCCTCCTGGCGGAGGAGGCCCAGAGGGGGACCGATCCACCCTAACCAAGTTCTCACCGAATCTCGCCGTGCGTCGGCCGTCTTCAAGCTGTCTGCAGCCGTTGGGCTGTGGGTTGTCTACGAGCCGACGTCGTTGAGAGGGGTGTGCCGAAATGCGGTTTCGGCGGAGCTCCCTGCGAGACCCAGGGCCGCGATCCTCGAGAGGGGTGTGCTGAAAAGAAGCTTCGGTGGAGCTCCCTGTTGGGCCAGGGCCAGGATCCTCGAGAGGTGTGTGCCGAAATGAAGCGTCGGCGGAGCTCCCTGTGGGGCCAAGCCCAAGATCATCGAGAGGGGTGTGCTGAAATGAAGCGACGGTCCAGCACCCTGTGGGGCCAGGGCCACGGTCCTCGAAATGTGTGTGTGTGCCGAGATGAAGCTTCGGTGGAGCTCCCTGTGGTACCAGGGCCACGATCCTCGAGAGGGGTGTGCCGAAATGAAGCATCGGTGGAGCTCCCTGTGGGGCCAGGGCCACGATCCTCGAGAGTGGCGTGCCGAAATGAAGCTTCGGTGGAGCTCCCTGTGGGGCCAGGGTCACGATCCTCAAGAGGGGCGTGCGGAAATGAAGCTTGGGTGGAACTCCCTGTGGGGCCAGGGCCACGATCCTCGAGAGGGGTGTGCCGAAATCGGGCTTCGGTGGGGCTCCCTGTGGGGCCAGGGCCACGATCCTCGAGAGGTGTCCGCCGAAATGAAGCTTCGCTGGAGCTCCCTGTGGGGACAGGGCCACGATCCTCGGGAGGTGTGTTCCGAAATGAAGTTTGGGACGAGCTCCCTGTGGGGCCAGGGCCGCGATCCTCGAGAGGGGCGTGCCGAAATGAAGCTTCGGCGGAGCTCCCTGCGGAGCCATGGCCACGATCCTCGATAGGGGTGTGCCGAAATTAAGTTTCGGTGGAGTTCCTTGTGGGGCCAGGGCCGAGATCCTCGAGAGGGGCGTGCCGAAATGAAGCTTCGTTGGGGTTCCCTGTGGGGCCAGGGCAGCGATCCTCGAAAGGGGTGTGCCGAAATGAAGCTTCGGTGGAGCTCCCTGTGGGGCCAAGGCCGCGATCCTCGAGAGGGGTGTGCCGAAATGAAGCATCGGTGGAGCTCCCTGTGGGGCCAGGGCCACGATCCACGAGAGGGGCGTGCCGAAATGAAGCTTCGTTGGGGTTCCCTGTGGGGCCAGGGCAGCGATCCTCGAAAGGGGTGTGCCGAAATGAAGCTTCGGTGGAGCTCCCTGTGGGGCCAAGGCAGCGATCCTCGAGAGGGGTGTGCCGAAATGAAGCATCGGTGGAGCTCCCTGTGGGGCCAGGGCCACGATCCACGAGAGGGGTGTGCCGAAATCGGGTTTCGGTGCAGCTTCCCGTGGGGCCAGGGCCACGAAGCTCTATAGATGCGTGCTAGAATGAAGCTTCGGAGGAGCTCCCTGTGGGGTCAGGGCCACGATCCTCGAGAAGTGTATGCCAAAATGAAGCTCCGGTGGGGCTACATATCGGACCAGGGCCGCGATTCTCGAGAGAGGTGTTCCGAAATGTAGCTTCGGTTATGCTCCCTGTGGGGCCAGGGCCACGATCCTCGAGAGAGGTGTACCGAAATGAAGCTTCGGTGGAGCTCCCTGTGGTGCCAGGGCCGCGATCCTCAGGAGGGGTGTGCCGAAATGAAGCTTGGGACGAGCTCCCTCTAGGTCCAGGGCCACGATCCTCGAGAGGGGTGTGCCGAAATGAAGCGTCGGTCCAGCTCCCTGTGGGACCAGGGCCACGATCCTCGAGACGGATGTCCCGAAATGAAGCTTCGGTGGCGTTCCCTGCGAAGCCAGGGCCGCGATCCTCGAGAGGGGTGTGCCGAAATGAAGCTCCGGTGGAGCGCCCTGTGGAGCCAAAGCAACAATCCCGTGGGGAGGTCCAGCGAAATGAAGCTTCCGTGGGCCTCCCTAAGGGATTGTTGCTGGTTGCTGGTTGCTGGGGGAGGGGAACACGGGGCCCCAACCCCCGTTTATTCCAACAACAACAACAACAACAATCATCCTACCCTCATGCGCGATGTTTCCACACGAAGCATGCGACCATCATAATAACCATCCACGTAGTAGAGGACTTTTGTTCTATAGCGGGGTCCGTTATTCCCATTCCAAGATATCCCGCCCAGTGAGGTCTTGCAAACACCTCCTCCGAGGAATGTCAAAATATCCCGCGCCTTGCTGCGCCGATGCGAGACCGCCAGTGGAATCCCAGCGAAGGGTAAAGCACAAGGAACTATCGAACGACAGGATTGCCTTGGTGGGGATGGGGTCTGTCGGCGGCGAGGCAAGGACCTGGCCCTGAATAGACAGGATGAAGTCTCGAGCAAGGCTGCTGTTGTTGTTGGGAGCGGCGACAACACTGAAAAGAGTAGGGCGCTAGTCCAGCGTAAAAGAAAACGAAATCTCGAGTGGGAACGCTGGTTTTGTTGGGCCAGCGGCTTTCGGCGGCGAGGAGGAACACCGCCTTGAGTAAGAAAAGAAGAAGCATCGAGCGGGAGCCGTGGTTTTGTCGGGACGGGGGCTGCCGGCGGCGAGGAACAGCACCGTCCCGAGGAAAAAAAGAGAAATCTCGAGCGGGAGCGTTGTTTTTGCTGGAAGCGGCGCCACTTCAAAACAGAGTAGGGCGCCAGTCCAGCGTAAAACAATAGGCGGGAGCGCCTTGTATTGTCGGGGCGGCGGCTTTCGGAGGCGAGGAGGAGCAGCGCCTTGAGTAAAAAAGGGGGGGAGCCTCGAGCGGGAGCGTTGTTTTTGCTGGGGGCGGCGCCGATGAGAGAAAGACTAGCGCGCCAGTCCAAGGTAAAATGGAAGGAAGTCTCGAGCGGGAGCGCTGGTTTTGTTAGGACGGCGGTTTTCGGCGGCGAGCAGAAACACCAGCCCTGAGCAAAAAAGGAGGAAGTCTCGAGCGGGAGCGTTGTTGTTGGGGGGCCGGTTTTGGCGGTCCCCTAAAACGCTCGAGCGTGAGCCTCATTGTCAATGAAAATGTAGCCGGCGCCTCGGCGAGAGCGCCAGAGCGCCTTTATGGTGACCAATGATAAGAACTGTTATATAATTAACACTAAACATCAACACCAACAACAGCAGCAACATTCATCCTACCCTCGCGCGCGATGTTTCCACACGAAGCATGCGGCCATCATGGTAAGCATCCACGTAATGAAAGTTCAACAACAACAACAACAACAGCAACAACAACAACGACAACAACGACAACAACGACAACAACAACAGCAACAACAACAACAACAACAACACCAACAACAACAACAACAACAACAACAACAACAACAACAACAACAACAACAACAACAACGACAACGACAACGACAACGACAACGACAACAACAACAGCAACAACACAGCAACAACAACTGCAACTGCAACAATAACAACGATAACAAGATCAACAACAACAATAGTAACCACAACACATTGGTAATCATCATAATGAGCAGCATCACCACCACCATGGCCACCACCACCACCACCACCATCACCATCATCAGCATCGTCATCATCATCATCACGGTCAGCATCGTAATCCGCCGACCCCTCGTGTGTCTCCAGGCGCGTGAGATTGTTCCCCCCCCATAATCCCCCCCCAGGGCCCCCAATCCGGGATTTTGACCCCCCCCCCGGCCCCTGGTGGCCCCCGACCGAACGCGTCACAGGGCTCCAAAACTTACCAAAAAGGTACCAAAACTCACCAAAAAGGTACCAAAACGCTCCCCGGACGGCCCCCGAGACCACGATTCGCCGACATAGCGCCCCCAGACGCCCACGATGGCCCCCCTGGCGGTCTCTGAAGCTACCGAGACGCCCCCAAAAAAGGCCCCTAAGATGCGCCCCGACAGGGTCGCAAGAAACAAAAATCTACACATTTCCTACGAAAACCACGCAGTACTCCGCACGCTCGCCTACTCGGCAATCACAGCGTCCACGACAAGCACAGACACCTTCAACATCGCTCCCAGACGACCAAAGGGGCCCCAAAGCAAGGTCGCTGGGGGTCCAACAACAGCCCACGAAGCCCCCAAGACAGCCCAGGAGGGCCCCCAGACGGCCCCAACACGGAGTCCGCAGGGCACCTTTTTCGAGCCTTCGGCTCCGAGACGCTCCCAGCCTGCTCCAAGAACACCCCAAAAGAGCCTGCGGGACCTCCCAGAAAACCTCCGAGGCCTCCAAGAAGCCACGAGGAAGTCCCCAAGAGGCCCCAAAACTACCTGCAAGACGACCCCGTCAGGCCTCGCACGAGATCTTCTTCACTATCCGTGTGGCCGCCTACCTGTATCCCGCGCAAGGTGGCGGGATGCGCCGCGTCCCATTCGACAACGACTCGTCCAAATTTTGGGCCGCCGCATGCCGTCTATGGGCGCGGGTGTTGACAGGCATTTTCCCGAAATCGTCACTCCTCCTTCTCCTCCTCCTCCGAGGACCCTCCTCCGCCTCTCACCCATCCCCCCCTCTTCCTCCTCCACTTTCTCCTGTTTAGTACCATGTCACCATCTCCACGTCTCACCATCAACAACATCACCACCAGCA